GAGAAACATTCCAAGTCAGATCTTTAGCTTCAGTTTTTGGTCCCCCCCCCCCCCCCACCCCAGTATCGACCAGAGAGGTCAATGGAAATGTGAAAAGTGAGTTAAAATTCTAAGTTCTGGGACCGGAGAGCTAGTGCAGGGGTCAAGGAACTTGCTGGCCGCAGTTTGATCTCGGGCACCCCAGAGATGCTCCGGGGCACAGAGCTAGGGGGTAATCCGTGAGTCCCTCCAGGTGTGCTCCCTCCAAACCAAAACCAAACAAATTCTATGTCATGCGAGCTAATGCCCTAGGACTGGGGGTCAGCAAAGGGACCTGCCCACCCTGCACAGCCCCGCACTGTATCCGGGAGCATCTGTCTTGGATGGCGTTTCCTTCTGCCTGCTCATACGGCCCCTCTGAGCTCCACTTTGCAGATCCAGAGTCAGCACCTGCCCATGGGACATTTAAAGCTGTGTTCCCCAGGATGAGAAGGACTGCCAGGTGCATGCGCCAAGATGCTGCCTATAACAAGTTTTTCTGACAGCTTCTAGGAATTCTGTCATCCTTTCTCTCTTTCTCTCTCTCTCTCTCTCTCTCTCTCTCTCTCTCTTTCTTTCTTTCTTTCTTTCAACATCACCTCTATCCTATCCTCTCCTTTCTCCCTGCATATGTGTGATTAATATATCAGCTGTGCTTATTCTGGCCTCCACCTCTCTTAACTTTCTCGTTTTCCATCCCCAGTGACTTGCTAAATTCTGGGTAAATTCCTCCTCAGCTCTTCATCCCATCTTCCCTCTTAAATCTTCGTCATCTACCATTGTGCCAGCCCAGCGATGTTTTTCTCAGTACTTCTATTTGTCCTTGGAGATATTCCATTCTTAAGAATAGTCCAGGTTCATTTCTGATAGTTTCTTGTTAGGTGCCCTCTAAAAAAAATGTATTTTTTTTCCTCTTTAAACATAACATCCAAGGGTCCGAGAGACAGTACAGCAGGTAAGGCGCTTGCCTCGTATGCAGCCAACCCCGGTTTGAACCCCAGCACCACATATGGTCCCCTGAGTCCCACTGGGATGATCTGTGAGCACAGAGCCAGAAATAAACCCTGAGCACCAGAGGCTTAGGGTATGGCCCAAAAAACAATGAAAAAGAAAAAAATAGATATAAAAAAATAAATAAAACTACCGTACAAATTTTATCTCCCACAGTCCTGCTCTCTGAAATTCTTTAGGCATTATTGCTGTTTTTCATGAGACTTGGGGGTCTGCCCAGACCCTGTGTGGAGTCCAGGTGATAAGGGAGCAGAACTATGGGGGCAGATCCGGGGAGGAGGACCGAGGGGAAAGGCAGGTGGAGTTCAACAGCCTGGCCACGCTGCCAGCTTTCTAGAACACTCTGCCCAGAAACCCCCATGCCAAAGCCATTAGGAGGCTGACACAGAAACCGCTGCCAACCAACCAGAGGCCATGAGCCACATGACGTCTGGGCAGCCAGGCTGGAAGCGAGTGCCCGTCTCAGAGTCCCACATACAGCTATGTTTGGGCCAGTCACAATGCTCTCTTCCTGCTGTCACTTGGTGAACGTCACCTATACTTGTAATCAGGTATATTTTGCCAGGTCCTTTGGTCTGTGTTCATCCTATTCCTTCCGGAATTTTAGTGTAACACTATTTTAGTGTAACAAAAGCAATTAAGAATACCATTGTTGGGGCTAGAGCAATAGCACAGCTGGTAGGGCGTTTGCCCTGCATGCGGTCAACATGGGTTCAATTCCCAGCATCCCATATGGTACCCCAAGTACCACCAGTAGTAATTTCTGAGTATATGAGCCAGGAGTAACCCCTGGTATGACCTAAAAAGCAAAAATAAAATAAAATAGAGTGTCAGTGTTTGTGTCTATTCTGCGTGATCTCAGTACTAAAATGTTTGTAAACACTCCAGAGAAATATTTGTTCCTTGAAGCCTGATTTTTCTCAGTTTAAGAAAAGCGGGAAAAGTTTTATATTTATTTTCACCTAAATGGAGTCATCCTTTCATTCTTCTGGACTGGGATGGGGGGGGGGAAATCTGTGTTAATGAACACTTCACAGACCATTATCAGGGAACTTCCCTTCAAGGGAAATTTGGATTATTTACATAGTTGGTCATTCTAAAACAAATCCTTAACTGGAGGCCTGCCTTTCCTCTTTTGTGTAAAGCATGTTGTTAAAGTGATCTATAAACATAGAGGCACAATAAGGATTACAGATAATTTAACCTTTCAAAAGCATTAAATGAGACAAGACTACATTGAAGCATTAATTTGCCGCTATATTAAATTGTCACTTCAAGCCTCTTAAAAAATGAGTGAAACATGATAATAACAGCAATTTCCCAAAGCCAGAGCCCAGGTTCACACTATCCTGTGGAGATATAAATATTTATCTGTTGCAGTACATCACTTACATTCCTCTCTGCCTAGCCCTGCAGTCAGCTGTGAATCTTCTAATGGCATTTCATTTTACATGAGGAGAGCAACAAATCAGGGAGCCATAATACTATTATTCTTGCTGAGTGCCCCAGAGCTAAGGAAACAGATCTGGAGCGGGTGGCATTTGGGGGTTTTAAAATTCCAGTTTCACTGGGTCAGTGTTTCATTGCGTTATAGTACTCATGTGTGTTCCGGGATGGTTGTTTGTTTGTTGTGGGCTTTTTTTGTGTGTGAGAAGACACCCAGAGGTACTCAGGGCTTACTCCTGGGTGTTTGCTCAGCATCACTCCTGGTGTGGCTTAGGGAACCAGGTACAGTGCCAGGGGTTGAATCTGGGTCAGTTGCATGCAAGGCCAGTGCCTTAACCCCTATATTATCTCTCACTCTCTCTCCCTCCCTCTTTCCACAACCCCCCCCCCATTTTCTCATTCATCAGTGACATTTGGGGGGAGGGGTGATAGTATTTTGTTTTGCTTTGTTTGTTTGTTTTGTTTTGTTTTATTGTGGACTACACTTGGTGATGTGCAGGGGTTATTCCTGGTTCTACACCAGGAATCACTCCTGACAGGCTCTGGGGACCATATGGGAAGTCAGGGATCAAACCCAGGTCAGCCACATGCAAGGCAAACACTCTACCCACTGTAGTATCTCTCCAGGCCCTCATCAGTGAGTTTCTGATATCCTACTCTCTGTAATCCTCTGAACACCCTTAGTGATAGGAACCGTGATGCTCGTTTTCTGCCAAATGAAGCACAGGCGAAAAGCAAATGTATCAAACATGCTCAAGACTCCTACGCTGGTGAATGGAGGAGCCACGGCCCATCCTTTCAGCTGGGAAATCTCCATCATTTGTTGCCAACTGTACAGTAAGGACTCTGGAGCCACCATGGTTTTTATTCTCAGTCAGCTGCCTTTCTCTCAAGGCAAGCACTCATAGCATTTGATTTCTTTAAAGTACAAGATTTTCTTTTCAGCCAAGGGCTATTTACTGCCAACTTTGTGTTAGCCAATGTTTTGTGGTTTGGGTTTTTTTGTTTGTTTGTTTTGTTTTGTTTTGTTTTTAGAGAGATAGAAAATGTCCTCATGTGATTGAGCAAGTCAAGGTAAAACTATAACAAGTCAGTATCCCAAGTTAAAATGTATTACTCAGGAATGGTTAGTAAGAAAAGTGTGTGTGATGGGTGGGCAAATCTTCTTTAAATTTGCCAACATTTGGGATAGAAAAAATCAAACTTGCAGACTGATGCACTTCATCTAGTCTTTACCAAAAAATTTGGTTTTTTTTCTGTTTTTTTGGGGGGCGGGGGGAGGTGTTTTGGGTTTTTTTTTTATTTTTGCTACAAAGATATGATATACATATGAGATTCAGTTTTGAGTGTTTACTACTAAAATTTTTTAAAAGACCTAACCACCTTTTTTCTAAAATGAAACTCCTTTACAAAAAAAGAAAATTTCAAGTAGTGTATTTTAATAAAAGGAAGCAAGCAAGCACAGTCTTCCCTAGTATTGCCATTACCACTGGGCTTCCCATCTTTGGGGCATCATTTGATATATAAGCACAGTGCCCACAGTCTTTCTGCGTTTGAAACCAAACTATTTGTGCTCAGAAGCTTAGAGCTGGAACACATATCCAAAGGAGCTCTTCAAAAGTATCAACTACCCCCACCCCCAACCCGATTGGCAATTAAGAAAAACCTAACACACTTTGGAAGGACCCCAGCCCCCTGTTTTATAAGGTCTGCTTGCAAGGAGAGATGTCTCCACCTGGTGGCCTTGTAGAGGACGGTCATTAAAGACTTGTCAACTTGAGTTGTGTTTTGGTAACTCTCCTTTGAAATGGGATCCAAACTGGGACTTGCCCAAGGGACCAGATGAAATCCAGCATCAGTCTCTACCCAACAGGAATGGGACCCACCGTTACTGCTCCAAGAAAGAGAACTTTGATGAAATGGAATCTCCCACATCACAATAGGGACCTCTCGTGCTTCTCCAGCCCCAAGGAATCTCCGGGGGTCTGTGGGGCAGGTGGGCTCTTGGTCCTGGTTTGGCCCGTACTCGCCGTGCCATAGCTAGAGCTTCTCGCAATCCATGAGAAACAAATAATGCCAGGACTTGAGCCGACCCCGCCAACCCCAATTACTGAGCTCTGGCCACAATCTCCTCTTTGATCTCGGTCTTCACTCTGTCCAAGCAGACCCTAATGGCCAAGTGTCTCAGTTTCCAAGTTGTGAGATCACCGGGGGCCCTTCCTGGCAGGAAGGTGAAAGACTTTGGTGGCAGGCCCTATTAACTTTTAAAAGCAATCTTGGAAAGAGCCACTTTTCTGTTCTCTTGTCTGTCACTGAACCCCTTTAGAAACAAAGTTTGAGTTTTCTTATCTGTGTCTACATGACAGACATGAATCCCATATCCTTCTGCAGGCGCTGTCCTTGTCTGCAAATAGGCCTTCCTAGCTGGAAGCTTTCACTTTGTGTCCAAGTGGAAGAGTCGCCTCAAGAGGAGTCTATTTCAGTTACTGGATGATGTTTTTCCTTTTTCTTTCTCTCCCCTGCAGTACGTAGTGGAGTGCCATGGAGTCACACTTCTCCCCCAGTTCTTGGGCATGTACCGACTGAATGTGGACGGCGTTGAAATATATGTGATCGTAACAAGAAACGTGTTCAGCCACCGGTTGTCTGTATATAGGAAGTACGACCTAAAGGTGAGAGTTGTTTGTCGGTTGTTTCTCTTTACATTGCTTACTCAGTGTGATGAAGCTTTCTCATCCAAGTGGGCAAATGTTGGCATGGATGATGCTGAGTGTTGTGGAGGTGCCCAGCCTTTGAAGTTACCAGGCAGAGAGCTGGTAGTTACCGAGAGACCCTTGGGCTTTGTCGGAAAGACTGTCATTTACTCAACAAGTGTTTGGTGAACAACAGCTACACACCAGGAACTTTTTGGGGTGCTGGTAATAGTGCAGTAACAAAAAAAAAATAAGCTTTGGGGAGGAGGTCAAAACAGATAGGAGATGACAAAAAGAAATAAGTCCTGCTGTGCAGTCCTCACAATGTAGACATTTTTGGTGATGATGGGCCTCGTCCCCACACACCAGTGACTGAGTCAGCCAGCTTAGGTGTGCCAGAGGCTGCCCAATCTCAGTGTGTGAGGACACTGTTGTGACATGATGAGAAAGTTGCCATCAGTGCCTTTCTGGACGGAACCCATGGCTGAGCCATGTGTAACTACATTATCAAGAAGTGATAATACACTTATACACTGTGGGTAGAGGGGTAGGGAAGAGACACTGTTTTAAGTAGGGCAGGAGGCAGTGGGAATGGCACATATCAAGAAGATGGGAAACAGCCAACAGTGGCAAGAAGGTGATGAGAAAGGAGCCCTCACTTACATTGGGTGCTGTCTGGATCCACCTCTGTGGAGAGCAGCATGAAGATTTCTCCATGAAGTAAGAATGCTGTTTCCATAGAACTCAGTGGTTCCAGTTCTTGGCATCTCCCCCCGCCCCAAACACAAAAACATTAATTCTAAAAGATATGTGTGCACCTGTATTTGTGGCAAGGATTGTACAATACCTGTCACTACCTGCCACTGTCCTCCCGTTGTTCATTGATTTGCTTGAGCAGGCCCAGTAACATTGTGAGTCTTGTTAATGTGTTTCGCATATCGAATACGTCGCAGGTAGCTTGCCAGGCTTTGCCGTATGGGTGAGATACTCTCAGTAGCTTGCCAGGCTCTCCTAGAGGGGTGGAGGAATGGAACTCAGGTCGGCTATGTCAGCCGCGTACAAGGCCAATGCCTACCCACTGTGCTATCGCTCCAGCCTTGTACAATACCTAGGGTAAGATTCACCCAAAACTAACAGTGCTGGGTGAATGGATAGAGAAATTATGGTCTATAGTCACAATGGAATAATACACAGCCATGAAAAACTAAGAAATCATGCAGTTCACTGCTAATTGGATGGAACTGGAGGACATCGTGTTCAGTGAAATAAGTCAGAGAGAGGACAAATACCAGATGATCTCACTCATCTGTGGCTTATAAGGAAGCAAAACAAGGGAATGGGCAGTGTCAATTGATGATAAGCCCTTGGCCTTACATTACACAACTGACAGAGGAGGGTGAAGTAGGGGCTAGAAACTGGGGACGTTGGGGGAAGGCTTGGATGTGTTGGTAGGGCTGGGGTATGGTACTATGTGTCACAAAGCCATAAATATTAACAGTAGTAAACATGTGACCTAAACTGTAATAAATAAGGTGCCAGGAAAGGTTTCACTACAAACAAGACATAGGAGCATGCCTGAAGGAGGTGAGGGAATTAGCCAAGAGAAGAACATTCCTGCCAGAGAACAGCCAGAATAAAGGCCCTGAGATGATCCATCTCAGAGACATTGAAGGAGCAGAGAGAGGAAACCACTGGAAACCCTGAGGGTGGAGGAGGTGATCTGATTTCTGGGATCCCTGACATAGAGGAGAATGTTCCAAGTTAGGGGTCTGCAGGCTAGGCCCTGGCTCCCTGTCTGGTTCCACTTGGCATTTTTCTCTGGAGCCCTGCCCTGCACCGTGCCTGTGATTTCTGTACCATGTGGGACTGCTTCTGCACCAAAACGGCAGGCGAGTACTTGCCACGGAGTTCTGATGGACCCCAGAGCACACAGTGTTTACCTCTGCACCCTTTTCAGCAAAGTGTGCCAACCATTGGTCTTTTTGTTTGTTTGTTTAAAGATGAATACACTTGCCTTTATTAAAATTAAGAACATCAGAAGGAAACTTAAAATGTGGCTCACTAGCTGGTAGAAAATAAATCACAGCACATACAGTGAGTAATAGTCAGAATGGATAAGAATTCTTCCCTCTCACTAAGGAAAATTTTTGCAGCCCCTTAGAGAAGAAGGGCCAAAGACAATGGCAGAGGGAATGGGAATGACCTTTAGCTTTTTTTTTTCATTAGTAATTAGGAAAATGCACATTAGTTATGAGCTTTCTTTTTCTTTCTTCTCTTGCCATTGAATGGACAGATAGAGAGGTTCATAGCCACAGTGCTGGGGAGACTGTGAGTTGGTGGAAACTAGATTCTTGTTGGTATGAAGGTAAATGGGGGGTGGGAGGGGAATCAGCATCCTCTTCTAAAGGGAGGCAAATATGAATGTGACTTCAGACCCAACAAACCAGTTTTTGGATCAACCATTTGTCTTAATCAGTAGTTCCCCAAAGTTTTTTAGTTACTTAACCAATACTATATAATATTTAGAAACATGGCTTCACACTGTGTTCATTGCCGAAGTTCTGGTAATCACCAGGAATTTGTTTTTTCAAATCTTGTATTTCTTCACATTATTAAAAGAGAATACGACCCAACTCCATCCCACCTCCACCCCCCCAAAAAAAAAAGTTTTTGCTTATTTACATTATCTCTATTGATATTTTCATTTGAGGTTAATGGGAGAAGTTTTTAAGTATTAGCTTACTTTATGGAACAATATGATGACATGTTAGCTATTTTTAGGGAAATAAAGGGGGACAACTTTTCACAAACAAGAAATCATAGAGTGAGACCAGTGGCATTGTTTTACCACTTTTGGAGGGAAATCTCTGTAATACCTGATAGTGCAAGATCATGTCATGACTGAGTCAGCTCTGGGTCTTGTGCAATATAAGTTGATGGAAGTATAGGAAGAAAATCTGACTACCTAGTTATTTGGAATAAAAGAGAAAGGGTATCCTAATTACTTCTTCAGAACATTGTGGGCATTCTCTTTTGATGCTACATTGAAACCTGACAGGCGGTAATTAATTGCAGAGAGCTTCGTGGCCACGTGGAATCTGAATTCACATCGTCGGTGGACTCTTCAGCTTCTTATTCATGTACTATGGTCTGTTTGCCAGCATTCCTTTGAATGCATCATGTCGAGGCGCTTCAGAACTTTGAGTTCACTGAATGAGCCGCTCCTCCAGTACTGATACATTTTTTTCCTACAGTATCACAAAGTCATATTCATATCACTACCCTCAACAGAGAAGTCTTTTGGTAAAGGGAGGATGCTTGAGCTCAGGGCCATGGTAAAAGTGTTTTAAATTTGTACTTGAAACCCAAACTTTATTCTTCGCAGCAAATATTGAGTTGCTTGAGCAGGGAAGTCTTGTAGCCCCTGGCACAGAACCACTTTGCTCTGGAGCAAGTACCTTCCACAGACAAGGATTGGAATAGGTTGTCAGTGATGCTTTTAAGTAAAAATGTACTTTCATGGGAAAAATAAGTGGCTAGTTCAGCCCATAGCTGAAAGCATCATAAATAGAACTGTTAAGAAATTATTCTTGGGAGGGGCTGGAGCCATAGTACAGCGGGTAGGGCATTTACCTTGCACACAGCTGACCCGGGTTCAATTCCCAGCATCCCATATGGTCCCCCAAGCACCACCAGGAGTATTCCTTGAGTGCAAAGCCAGGAGTAAACCCTGTGCATCACTGGATGTGACCCAAAAAGAAAAAATTATTCTCGAGAGCCTGAGTTATAGTACAATGAGTAAGGTGTTTGCCTTGTACCCAAACAACCTGGTTCCAACCCCAACACCCTATATGGTCCCCCTGCAGTGTCAGGAATGATCCTTGGGTGCAGAGATAGGAGTACACCCTGAGAACAGCTGAGTATGTACCCACCCCCATAAAAATAAATAAATAAGCAAAAATAAAAACAGAAAGAGCTTTATACATGTTTCCCACATTCAATATTGAATATTTGCCATATTGAAAAGATTTACAATTTAGGGTCAAGATTGAATTAAATTAATTTTATTGCTTCATCCTGGACATATGTGGGGGGAGACTTCCAATGGTGCTCAGGAGGCTTGGGACCACCAAGGTTACTGCAGCAGTGGCCAACCCGGGTTTGATCCCTAGCACACCATTTGGTCCTCTGAGCCCAGCCGTAGGTGATCCCTGAACCAGGAGTAAGCTTAGGGTACCATCAGGTGTAGCTCCAAAACAAAGTTATTGTTGTTGTTGCTGTTGTTTTTTAAAAAGCCTGTTTTTAAAAAATCTATCATTAATCAAGGAAAATGTTGCTGCTTAAACTCACCTCAAAAGCCCACAAAAGACTCTGGGTATGATGGGCACTTCCAGTGAGCCCTGAGGTCTTGAGAACCAGCACACAAGAGAAGTAGCCGAGGCCAAGAGCAGATTTGCTTCCATTTTATACCTCTGTGCTTGGCCTGGCTCATGGAGAAGGTAAGAGCACTGCTCATAAAGGTGTGTCAGGAGCACCCAAAGGAAACAGGACAAGTGTATTCTGTTCTCAAGGAAACTCTGCTCACCTGCAATTCCAGAAAGGCAAGCAGAGAGTGAGGACGGGCTACGTTCCCCAGGCGTTGGGCGGGGGAGGCCTTCAGGCCCAATGGCCATGGGCAAGAAGCAGAAAACAGTCGGCCCATGCATTTACTAAGTCACTAGCCATGGGCAGTTTTCCTGACTTGCAGGAGGGGAATGAGAACCAGGGAGCTCAGGGACACAGAAGGGAAGGGACTCTGGATGGTGGTCAGAAAATCCTGCAGACGAACAAAGAGTCGCTGTTGAGATTCTACCTTCCCCCAGGACCAGGCGTCAAAGCCTTGTACTCAAGCAGAAGTGCTCGCGTGTTGCACCCACAAGATTCTTACTGTGCCTTTGTGTTTCAGGGTTCCACGGTGGCAAGAGAGGCGAGTGACAAAGAAAAGGTAAGTGCTTTGCCCTGTGTCTTATCCACTGGGACCCTGGGCCAGAAACAAACAGTGCCTTCAAGAAAAAGGAAAACCCCTCATTCTTTAATTATTTTTTATGGAGTCACACTGCAATCTCACATTGGTTATAATGGCAGATATGCATTGTTATAAGTCAGTGTGTATTTGGTTTGTGGGTTTTTATTTGTCTTGAGGGCCACACCCAGCAGTGCTTACTCTTGGCTCTGCAGTAAGAGCTCTCTGTGCGGAGAGCATATGGGATGCCGGAGATCAAACCTGTGCAAGTGTCATTCCTGTGCAAGTGTCTTACCCGCTGTACTCGCTCCAACCCTCTGTGAACCTCATGGGTCCCTGGCAAATGTTCTTTACGCTTCCAACTTCCTTACAAGCCTCCCCAGGTTACCAGCTCTAAGCATAAATGATTTTGGTGTTGCTCTAACCATTTCTCATGCAGAGGCTTCTCAGTACTGGGCTAGGCCCCCTGTAGGACTCTCTGGATTATTCAGAGTTTCACAGACCTTGCAGTCTCCGAACCGGAAGCCAGGACATGTGGATCAGAGCCTGTTCCATGTTGGTTGCTGGGTTCTCCTTTGCTTCTCAAGTCCCCTGAAGCCGTTGCACCCATTTGTCTCTTCAGGTTCAGTCACCAAGGGCAAGGTCCACTCTCACTCACACCAGGAAAGACAGACTCACAGTACCCCTGCCTACTGTTGCCTTGGCTATAAAACCAAAGCATGTACGGAGGAACCTTCAGCTCTAGCCATCCCTGTCACTGCACTGTCTCCTCAGAGGCACTGGAGTACACCACTCACTTTCTAGAAACCCAGTGCCATGGCCACAGGACCACTGTCCACCATACCCAATGCCCTTATTCCCCATAGTGTGGTGTCTGTGAAAAAGAGATGAGATTAAAAAGCTGTTTCCTAGAAACTCCCTCTCATGGATTGGGGGTTCAGCTGAGATGTCCTTCTACATGACAGCTGTTTCTCCAAGCCTCTTCCAGGAGGTGTGAGGGGCCCTGAGAAACCATTCTGCTTTCCCCACCTCTCCTGGACTCCCCTCTAAGATCCAGAGGCTCCAGATCCACAGAGTATTGCACCACAAGGGGCAGAGACAAAACTTACCTTGATTGGAGTCGGGTTCAAATCAGTCTCGATGTTTGTCCAAATTGATAGTGTCATCTGTTATGTGTATAACCCTTATATGTGGATACCTCAAATTTCTGCATGAATATGGTTCTGTGATCCTTGTAGCCACGTTAGGATGTGTGTCCTATTGGGACTTCCTCAGCACAAGCTCCCTTAATAGCCAGTTTGAAGGTTCCATGCTTAGAAACTAGCTCTCTCTCTCTCTCTCTCTTTCTCTCTCTCTCTCTCTCTCTCTCCCCTCCCCCAAGTCAGGAAGATTGGACTCATTCACCACAGTGAAACCATTTTTTTTTCTGAATTACGTGGTACCAAAGCAGTTCATTCTGAATCTTGTCATCAAAATTTGAAAGTTGTGGAATTCTCTTCTTTTATACTCTTTGCAAAACAACCTGTTTCCTCCACTTGAAGAGCTTAGGTGTTTTTCTGAGTGCAGCATACAGCCAGGGTCCAGAGGTCCAAAGCCACTGGTCTATGTGATTGTCTCTCACACTATATTCGTGGGAAAACTGCAGATTCCCAAGCAGAATCCTGTGCTCTCGGCCTCTTGCGGGCTTAGTCTTTAGTTCTGCTTCTTCAGAAAGGAGCAGCTCTGAAGGATTCTGGATTACAAGCACTCACACTGGAACTGGGTGATGGGGAATATTTTGAAGATATGGAATGCGAACATAATTAAAATCAGTAATTAGTGCCTGACTTGGCAATAGGGTATTATGTTTCTGATAGAGCTGTTTGTTTATAATCTGGCTACAACTCAAGTAGCATTCACTAAACTCTCAAAACAAATAAATAAGAGGTATTCATGGAGCTGCACTCTTAAAAAAAACAGAGTTTGTTTTGGTTTGTTTCCCACTTTATTTAAACACTGTGGTTTACAAAGTTGTTCATAATTACTTGTTACAGGCATTCAATATTCCAATACCAACCCCACCCTCACTGTCACCTTCCCTCCACCATTGTCTTCATTTTCCCACCCCTCAAGCTAGGCCCACAATAATTTATTTTATATTGCTTGTTGCCACTAAATGGCTAATAAAATGATCAAAATATGTTTCCATAGAAGAAAATTAAGTCCTTGTCTGAGGATTTACTGAGCTGTTGTTGCAAATTAAGCCTTCTGTGTTAATGTTTTTGTTAGGAATTTTGTTAGAATGCTCCTGCATTACATCCCATCCAGTGTGGTGTGCTCTTACTGGGATGTCCAGGTTGTAGAGTGGAGATGTTGAAGATTTAACTGGGCTGTCCTGTAAGAGGTGTGGCAGTGGCTTTGGGGTATGGGTGTGGCTGCCAGGGCTTTGGTAGGGTGGAAGCTGGCCCATCCCCCGTTCCAAGATCACCCTGGGGGTCTCAGCTGGAAACAGATATCTCAGAAATTCTTGCAGCTAGTTGATCTCTTTCAAGGTTTATTTTTGAGTCTCTGGAACAAAGCCGGTAGATGAGCTTACATGGCCATGGCATTGGGACATTAGTATCTAAAAAATGTCAGTTTTTCTTTTCTCCCAATTTTCAAATTATATATTTCACTCCCAAGAAGCATGCAACTCTTTGTCTTCCAAAATAAAATCATGCTTGTTAGCAAGACAGTCGTTCCTAGCTCTGGTTAGAGATAATTTGGAGAAGGTCAAAACTATTGTCTATTTTAGTCTTTGGGAAAGAAACCAAATGTATTGGAAGAGCATTATTTTCAGTGCTATCATGTGGAACCATATTCTCTACTAAATGATTGTCACGGTGCAGAGAACAATTTTCACAGAAGACTTTCCATTGATGTGGCTTAATTAGTCACTGGAATTCTTCATTTTCCTTTCATTTGAGTCATTATAACTGTTTTAATTTTCCGTACTTTTAACTTGTTGATGACAAGTTTTAAAACTGTCATTTCAAATATTTGCTGTTATAGGCGCAGACAAGTCCCATCCCTGAGATTTCAGCTTGACACATAATTAGTGTGATTTGCATTAGCATAATAATGAAGATGGAACTGAAGGAAATAAAGAAGTTATATTCTAACAATAATGGAATCACTTTCATGGCAACAAGTATCAGAACACGCATGTACAGATGTCTTTAATCCCCCCCCTCAAGAACAGAGTAGTGCTTTAAATTTAAAAAAAAAAAACGCTGTTGTCAAATTCTGACAGCGGCTTTGACTTGTTTTATTCTTTAATTCTTTCCTTTTTAATGGAAGGACATCTTCCATTCACGGCTCCAGCAGTTTCACCTCCTGTAAATGAGACAGAGAAATGCGTATCTCCCTGGTGGTCGATCTTTTCACAGCTGCGCTGCAATTCCAGTGAGACATCAAATTAGTAATTATAGCCAAGCGGGCTGCTTTTTACAAATGACAGTCTTAGCATGCTGCCAGCAAGCCAGCTCCTCAGCGGGGACGCTGGGAAGTAAAAGAAAACATAACTGGACTCACTTGATTTCTGAGGGATTTGACCTGACTCTTTCAAAAGCCCGTGTTCCTGAGAGAGAGGATCCTGGGGATTGACACAAATATGCATTTTGTTTTGTAGATTCTGCCGTGTGCTCCTCAAAACTCATGTCTGATTTTATTAGGTAAAAGCCAAGCCTGTTTAATGGAGTCACAGGGTCACAATCAGAAGATTCCTTTTAACATATAACCCTTCTCCCTAGAACCCATTTGAAAGAAAACAGCTGCCCTGCAATTGGCATTTGTATAACTATATTGGCGATGATCATTGTTGACACTTGGATAATGGGCTACAAAAAGCCGCCTTGTCGATTCGTGGGCATTGTGAATTGCACAAGCAATTAAGTGACTGTCACCATCTCTGACATTTTACCTATTACAGGCACTAAGGGTTGGGGAGAATTCATCATCCATTCACATCGGAAAAATGCTTTCCTAAACCAGTTTGCAGCATTTCTTTTGTGATCTTTAAATTGTAACAAATTATAATTAATTGCTACCTCTCCACTAGTTATTGGGGCTGCAGTTGGAGACAAGGTAACACAGATGGCAGGACCGGAGCCAAAGGTACAAAAGCACAGCGGTGTGTCCTGGGAATCTTTCTTCCTCGGCTCAAAGTTAATAATAAGCGCTTCCTTTGCCACTGTCAGCACAGAGGCGTGAAAGGGAGAGTGTCAAGGTTTCAGGCCCTAAACCTACTCATGCTTTCACCGACTTTTATAAAATTCTTCATCCCAAGACAGAAGTGACTCCTACCCCTGCCGGCCTTTGTTAGGGCCACTTGTCTCAGGTCCCGAATGCTGGGGACCATTTCTTGGTGCCTGTTTCTCAAACCTGGAATTAAAGGCAACTCCAGTAGCCTCTGCCTCTTGGCCTGGAGATGCTTCAGACGGGAGGGCTTGTGGAGAGCGGGAGCCAGACCGTGGTGTTAGGGAAGCCAGTTGCCAGCCGCCCGCCTGCCGTCAGTGAGAGTTGAGATCTGGGGACAAGTCTGTCCTTATTTATAAAATTGAAGTGTTCGCTTTTCTCTCTGTTTCAGTGCTAACTTGGGTCCTTGCTCCTCCTGCTCAATGGTGGGGTCAGGTGCTTGCTTGCTGTTCGGGAGAGAGGCTATTCTGGATTCTGGGTTCTGGGTCCCTATCCTGGAACTTGGGAGGGGGCGGGTGTCCGTGTCCAGTAACCCAGGAGGGGAAGGTGTCCGTGTCTAGTACCTGCAAGGGGTGGTTGTCCCTGTCCTATAATCTAGGAGGGGGCGGGTATCTGTCCAATACCTGGGATGGGGGCGGGTGTCCCTGTCCAGTACCCAGGAGGGGGCCGGTGTCTGTGTTCAGTAACCCAGGAGGGAGCAGGTGTCCGTGTCCATTATCTCCAAGAGGGGTAGTTGTCCCTGTCCTGTAACCCAGGAGGAGGAGGGT